AATCAAAAACGGGTTTGTGTTTTGGTTTGAGGGGTTGAGTCGAGTAATTTGTATGAAGGTAGAAGATCTGGTCACTGTTGTTGATGTTTGTTCTGAAAATGTTTGAGTTAGTTTTGAAGATGGAATGTGATGTTGGTGGAAAATGGAGAAGAAGGTGAATAGGGTTACCGGCGGCTAGGGTAGTGTCTCATAGATTAGGGTTAGTGTCTCATAGATTAGGGATGATGAAAAGGAGAAGTATATATAAGATGTTGACACATGGCAAAACTAGTGATTAGAGATTAATTATGGTTTTAAAATAAAGACAACGATAATATTGATTAATTAAAAAGAAAATTGCACTAACTAAATGGTTAAATACTAACTATTAACTAATTAATAAACTAACTTAATAAAATTCTACGTAATCAAAATAATTTCAATTGAAAAACTAATAACTAATAAATCTATAATTTAATAAATTCTAATTAAAACTAATATAATAATAAAAATTAATTCTAATAACTCTAATAAAATTTTAACAAAATATAATTCTATAATAAAATAAAACTCTATTTAGCTCCTAATAATAAAAAAACACTAAAAATTATATTTAATCTAAAAACTATTTCTAAACTATATAATTAAATTTATTTTAAACTCTATTAAATTAATTTAAATGAATAAATAAAAAAAATAATTAATTACTAATAATCTAATTAAAATTAAATAATTCTAAAACTATTTCTAATTCTAAATCCAAAATTCTAAATTAATTCTATTTCATTAAAAATTCTAATTAATTTTAAACTAATTCCTAATAACAATTTTAAAATTACTAACTTAATTCTAAAATCCTAAAATATCTCTAAAATTACTAACTTAATTCTAAAATACTAAAATATCTCTATAATTACTAACTTAATTCTAAAATTCTAAAATATCTCTAAAATTACTAACTTAATTATAAAATTCTAAAATATCTCTATGATTACTAACTTAATTCTAAAATCCTAAAATATCTCTAAAATTACTAACTTAAATCTAAAATCTTAAAATAATCCTAAATTAAATCAAATCTAATTAATTCTAAAATCCTAATTTAATAATACTAATAATTACCAATTAATTATAAAACTAAATTCTAATTAATTTTAAAACTAAAGAACTAGCTAAATAATAAAACTAAAAAATAATATCTATTAATTCTAATAACTAATCTAAATTAATAATTAAAAATAGTTCTAAACAAATAAATAAATAAAACTTATTTAAAACCTAACTTCTATTTTCTATCTAAAACAAAATAATAAAATCCTATATTAAATTCTATTTAACTATTAAAATAAAATAAAATCTATTCTAAAAACAAATAAAATTCTATTCTATTTCTAAATAACCTATTCTAAATGTCTATTAAAATCCTAATAACATAACTCTAAGAAAAACTTTAATCTAAGCTAATAAATAAATATATAAATAAATAAATAACTACAATAAATATCTATTTCTATTTAAAACAATATGAAAAACCTATTTAAACTAAATAAATGCTAAAACACAAATATATACAAAAATAATAATAATATTTGCAAGGAAAAAGAGAAATTAAAAAGGATTAAAATTTACAAAAATACTCTTTGGCCACGTGTCACGCTCCCATTGAAAAAAATAATATGCCTAATCGAAGGGTGGACACGTGTCTAAACGGCATGAAATTAAATAAAAATGCAAAATAGAAAAATGCAAAAATATTTACAAAAGCTGGCGGGCATATTTAGGGTATATATATATATATATATATATATATATATATATATATATATATATATATATATATATATATATATATATATATATATATATATATATATATATATATATATATATATATATATATATATATATATATATATATATATATATATATATATATATATATATATATATATATATATATATATATATATATATATATATATATAATTGACATTAAAATAGACACGAGGTAAGAAATATATATATATATATATATATATATATATATATATATATATATATATATATATATATATATATATATATATATATATATATATATATATATATATATATATATATATATAATTGACGTAAAAATAAACACGAGGTAAGAAATTAAAAAAAATATATATATATATATATATATATAAAATTGACATAAAAATAGACACGAGGTAAGAAATTAAAAAGGGATAATGTTGTATTTTGTTGATCATTTGTTTTTTCAAGATGAAACTTAATGAATTGCCACTTGCAAGAATCAATGAAAGACCATAACATGGCAAAAAAAACCGGACCCACAGGTAAGAAAAATGGGGCATCATCGGAGAATCGATTGAAAATTCTTCAAAAATGACACAGACTTCTGCTAGTGGGGCATCATTGGAGATCCCTGATACACCTTCAAGTTATGAGTTTAACTCATCATCACTAATGGAGCGTCTAATGGGACAAAAAGTAGCAAAAAGGAAAGGTAAGGCAAAAGAAATTCCAAATGCAACGCAAGATGCAAGGAATAAAAGAGCAGAAACAATGGAAAGACTTGCGCAAAGTAAGAAGGACGAGATAGAATTAAAGGTAATGCAAATCATGATAAAAGACACTTCTACTATGAAAGAAAGTCAACGAGAGATTCATGAAAAATATTGTACTAAAATGAGAAAAAAATATGGACGGTAGTTAGTACCACTTTAAATTATATGTAAAATGGTCATTAGTACCACTTTAATTTATCAAATCCTATGTAAAATGGTCATTAGCACCACTTTAATTTATCAAATCCTATGTAAAATGGTCATTAGTACCACTTTAAATCATAATAAATATTATGTTATTTAAACTAGCCGTTATTCAAACTAGCCGTTATGAATAACTAGCCGTTATGAAAAACTAGCCGTTATGAATAATTAGCCGTTATTCAAACCATTATATATACTACCACTTGTGTCATTGTTTTCTCATTCTCTTCTTATTCCTCACTAAAATATGGATTCAGACAATTCAGATAATTACGATCAAGAATTTTGGGAGTTAGTTGAAGAACAATTAATGGACGACAGTGATGAAGAACAACATCTTCAAAATGAATGTCAATTTGGAAGTTCCTCTAGGCCAAAGAGAAGAACTACGGTAGATCGAGGTCGTGAAGAATGGCACAATCGGTTATTCAATGACTACTTCTCAGAAAATCCAGTATACACAGATGTATAATTCCGAAGAAGGTTCGGAATGCATAGGCATGTGTTTCTTCGAATTGTAGATGCCCTCGGCAATCATGATGAATATTTCCAAATGATGCAACTGGTAAGATGGGGTCTTTCACCATTGCAGAAATGCACATCTGCTATTCGTATGTTGGCATATGGGTCTCCCGCTGACATTGTAGACGAATATGTTCGAATCGGTGAAAGTACCTCAATTGAGTGCTTAGAAAGATTCGTTAAGGGCGTGAATGTTGTATTTGGGGATGAGTATTTGCGAAAGCCTAACAACACTGATATTGAACATCTTTTACAAATGGGTGAGTCACGTGACTTTCCAGGTATGTTGGGTTCCATTGATTGTATGCACTGGGAATGGAAAAATTGTCCTTTCCTGTTGTTGCTTGGAAAGGACAATTTTGTCGAGGTGATCATGGTAAACCCACAATCATGCTTGAGGCTGTGGCATCACAAGACTTATGGATTTGACATGCATTTTTTGGTATTGCAGGTTCTAACAATGACAATAATGTGCTAAACCAATCTAACGTGTTTAACGATATTTTGGAAGGACATGCTCCCACTGTGCAATATACAATCAATGGAACACCATATAATATGGGGTATTATTTAGCAAATGGTATATATCCTGAGTGGGCTACATTTGTCAAGACCATTTCAATGCCACAGGGAGAAAAGAGAAAATTATTTGCTCAACATCAAGAATCAGCTAGAAAAGAGAAAATTATTTGCTCAACATCAAGAATCAGCTAAAAAAGATTTGGAGCGGGCATTTGGAGTGCTCTAGTCTCGATTTACAATTATACGTGGTCCAGCGCGTGCTTGGCACATGGAAACCCTCAAGCATACAATATATGCTTGCATCATATTACACAACATGATTGTTGAAGACGAACGACACACATATGGAGGTGATTTTGATTACTCTTATGATAATGTAGATGACAACAACTCAACAACTGAAACATTTAACGGTCCCCATCCGAATTTTGCAACAAGGCTACAAAGAAGAGCGAATATTCGTGAAAAACAGGTTCATCGCCAACTTCAAGGAGATCTGGTCGAGCATATTTGGGAACGTTTTGGACATGAGGAAGATGAAACTTAAATGACGAATTATGTGATGTTATTTATTTTTATTGTTTTTAATTATGTGATGTTATTTATTTTTATTGTTTTTAGTTATGTGACATGTATTTAAATTTAATTTTAATTATTATTTTCAATTTTATGTTTAATTTTAATTTTATGTTTAATTTGTATTTATATTAATTAAAATTTAAATATTTAAATTATAATTTTAAATAAAATAAATTTAATATAAATAATATATTTTAAGTAAAGTGGTAGGACTCAATATAGAGTTGCAACATTTTAGAGTAAAAATTAAATGAATTGCTTTAAAAGAGTAAGTCCCAACAAAAAAAAAACAAAAACCTAAAAATAATAGTTTGCATGGTCAAAACAAACACCAAAAGTGTAGCTGCTTCAGTACTATTTTTATTTTTTTTGTAGTTACTGAATCAGTGGGAATGAGTGATTTTAGAGTATTGAAAGGAGAAACTCACTCCCACGTCACACACATGTGATGAATCAACACTTGTGTATTACTATTTTCGTCTATTCCTCTCCTTATAAATACACTACACTTTACCTCTCTTAAATCGTACTACAAACAACAAACAATAACAACTTTCTATTTCTCTCTTCTTTCACACTTTCTAATAATACTGATATTGTCAATAAGGGAACACAAACATGACAAGTCTCGAAGATATTAAGAAAGAGACCGTGGATCTTGTAAGTTCGAATTCACAATGAGATTGTTTGAATCACAATAAACCATTGCAATTTTGGCAGAAGATAACTTGTGTCAAAATTACGGTCACATTGTGATCTGACATATTCGATGTTTGTTTCATTTGGTTTGTTATAACTTATATTATCTGCTTGGTTTTGTAGGAGAGGATCCCGGTTGATGAAGTGTTTCGCGAATTGAATTGTTCTAAAGAAGGTCTCACTAATGAGGAAGGCCAGAAAAGGCTTACAGTTTTTGGTCCAAACAAATTGGAAGAAAAAAGTGTAAGTAATCATGCAACTAATCTACAATCAAATTTGTTAATTCATATCATTATTAAATGAATCTTTTTTTGATAAAATCTTATTTTTGGACTAAAACAGGAAAGCAAGGTGCTCAAGTTCTTGGGTTTTATGTGGAATCCCCTCTCATGGGTCATGGAAGCTGCTGCTATCATGGCTATTGCTTTGGCTAATGGAGGGGTATGGTGTTGTTCATAATATATCTATTCGTCATTATCCAATATCCATTAGGTAGCGTGTTAAGAGTCTCACGTTTTGTCTGTTGAAACATATAGGGTCAACCACCAGACTGGCAAGATTTTGTGGGAATCATGGTGTTGCTGATTATTAACTCAACCATTAGTTTTATAGAAGAAAACAACGCTGGAAATGCCGCTCAAGCACTTATGGCAGGTCTTGCTCCCAAAACCAAGGTTCTGAGAGATGGAAGGTGGTCTGAGCAAGAGGCTGCTATATTGGTGCCGGGAGATATAATCAGCATCAAGTTAGGAGACATCATTCCAGCCGATTGTCGTCTTTTGGACGGAGATGCTCTTAAGATTGATCAATCCGCACTCACCGGTGAGTCCTTGCCTGTTACAAAGAACCCTGGCGATGAAGTCTACTCCGGCTCCACTGTAAAACAAGGAGAGCTCGAGGCTGTTGTAATCGCCACTGGTGTGCACACCTTCTTCGGTAAGGCTGCTCATTTGGTTGACAGCACTAACCAAGTTGGTCATTTCCAAAAGGTACTTAATTCTTACTCGTCAGTCTTCAATATTATTACTGATAAAAATCAGTACTAACGTGGATTTTGATGGCTATGGTGATGATCAGGTGTTGACAGCCATCGGTAACTTCTGCATTTGCTCAATTGCTTTGGGAATGATTATCGAGATTGTTGTCATGTATCCGATTCAGCGCCGCAAGTATAGAAACGGAATTGACAATCTTTTGGTTCTTCTCATTGGAGGGATTCCAATTGCCATGCCAACAGTTTTGTCAGTTACAATGGCTATTGGTTCACACAGGCTGTCAGAGCAAGGTGCTATCACAAAGAGAATGACCGCCATCGAGGAAATGGCTGGGATGGATGTTTTATGTAGTGACAAAACCGGGACTCTAACATTGAACAAGCTTACTGTGGACAAGAATCTGGTTGAGGTATTTGCAAGAGATACCGATAAGGACATGGTTATTTTGCTCGGAGCAAGAGCCTCTAGGGTGGAGAATCAAGATGCTATTGATGCTTGCATTGTTGGAATGTTGAGTGATCCTAAAGAGGCTAGAGATGGTCTTACAGAGGTGCATTTCTTGCCCTTTAATCCAGTAGACAAGCGTACCGCAATAACATACATTGACACTGATGGTAACTGGCACCGAGTAAGCAAAGGCGCACCAGAGCAGGTAAATAAATAGACCTTTCACGGTTTCGCGAGTCATATTTTGATGTCTATTGTTTCTCATTACAATAACATTTTGAATTTTCTTTTAGATTATTGAACTTTGCAATCTTAGAGAAGATGTGAAGAGGAAAGCTCTTTCCATCATTGATAAATTCGCTGACCGTGGTCTTCGTTCTCTTGCTGTTTGCAAACAAGTGAGTTTTCTTAGTTTTTCTTAATGACAAGTTATTATGGTTGAACGAATCGATAAGTTTTTACAAGAATTATGCAAACTTTTTAGGAAGTACCAGAAAAGACCAAAGAGAGTTCAGGAGGACCATGGACTTTCGTCGGTCTGTTGCCTCTCTTTGATCCACCAAGGCATGACAGTGCAGAAACCATTAGACAGGCTCTCAATCTTGGAGTAAATGTTAAGATGATTACTGGTGATCAGCTAGCTATTGGCAAGGAAACCGGTCGCAGGCTCGGTATGGGAAGTAACATGTATCCCTCATCCTCCCTCCTTGGTGAACACAAGGATGCCTCAATTGCTTCCCTTCCCGTCGATGAACTTATTGAGAAAGCCGATGGATTTGCTGGTGTCTTCCCTGGTAATATATACATACATATATACATATATTTGTTTGTATTATTGATTGATCTTATAAGGAAGACGAGATGAGAGTACTAATGAGAATAATGCGAATGAATTTGAAATGCAGAACACAAATATGAGATTGTAAAGAGACTTCAAGATAGGAAACACATTTGTGGAATGACAGGAGATGGTGTGAATGATGCACCTGCATTGAAAAGAGCCGACATTGGAATTGCGGTGGCTGATGCAACTGATGCAGCTCGAGGTGCATCCGACATAGTCCTCACAGAGCCTGGTTTGAGTGTTATTGTGAGTGCAGTCCTCACAAGCAGAGCTATTTTCCAAAGAATGAAGAACTACACGATTTACGCAGTTTCAATAACAATCCGAATCGTGCTTGGCTTTATGCTCCTTGCTCTAATTTGGAAGTTTGATTTCTCTCCTTTTATGGTTTTGATCATTGCCATACTTAACGACGGCACAATCATGACTATTTCAAAGGATAGAGTGAAGCCATCTCCTATGCCAGATTCATGGAAGTTGAGGGAGATTTTTGCCACTGGCGTCGTGCTTGGCGCCTACCTTGCTGTTATGACTGTTGTCTTCTTTTGGCTTGCTCATGCTTCTAATTTCTTCACCGTAAGATTAAGTGATTCTGCAATAAGATCATTATTTCATCATTTTCAGACTTCGTGCTTAATCCAAAAACTGAAAAATATTTGTAGGAAAAATTCGGTGTAAGATCTATCCGAGACAGCCACGAGGAGCTCACAGCTGCTGTTTACCTTCAAGTTAGTATCGTAAGTCAGGCTCTCATCTTTGTTACACGATCAAGAAGTTGGTCTTTCGTCGAACGTCCTGGATTATTACTTGTCGGTGCCTTTTTCATCGCACAACTGGTAAGTTTTTTTAGGAGAACAGGCTCCTGATAACTCAGAGTTCAGAATAATTAACTGTGCTTCATTACTTTTGCGGTATCTTATTTACAAAACTAATTTATTTTTATCTTCTTTTATGAATACGACTTTTAAGATTGCCACATTGATAGCTGTGTATGCAAATTGGGCGTTTGCGGATATGAAAGGAATCGGATGGGGTTGGGCAGGAGTCATTTGGCTCTACAGCATTGTTTTCTACATCCCTTTGGATATCCTTAAGTTCTTCATTCGATATGTCTTGAGCGGCAAGGCATGGAATAACATTACTGAAAATAGGGTAAGCTCGCATTATAAAAGTACTAACATGGTTAAATATGTTTTTTTTAGTCTCTGAATTCACTTTTCAGCTTTACAAATTACAAAAACGTATGCATTTGGAAGCTGAAAAGTGAATACCGAGACTAAAAAACACGTAATCTTATGATTCTAACTAATGTAATGGAATGCAGACTGCTTTCACCTCAAAGAAAGATTACGGAAAGGGGGCGAGAGAAGCACAATGGGCGGCAGCTCAGCGCACGCTACACGGATTGAACCCACCAGACTCAGATCAAGTGCTGAATGAAAGTAACAACTATAGAGACCTATCTGAACTTGCGGAACAAGCCAGGAAACGCGCTGAAATCGCTAGGCTAAGGGAGCTACACACACTGAAGGGACATGTTGAATCTGTTGTGAAGCTGAAAGGACTTGACATTGAGACAATTCAACAACACTACACTGTTTGAGTGATATAAGATGGATTTGGAAGAAAAAGTAGATAAGTATGCAATTCAATATTGTATTGGCCTTGTTATTTTAGATTCCTATTTGGAATTTAGAAGAATATACAACAAGGGCTTTGAAATAATCCAACATTTGGAGGTTGTGCTACATGTACCAAAATTGGAGTGTAGACACCAAATGTATTTTTGCCGATGTTATCACAATTTTTCATAATGAAACTTTCTTGTATTTGCTTTTTGAATTGCTTGTGCTCATTACATTCAAATATTCCTTTTTTCTCAGCAGAATAAGAATAACAACAAAGGTTCAATTAAAACATAGTGGCTTGTCGGAACTATTAAGGACTGTCCCTTATTGTTTGAGATAAATTTTGAATGAAGTTGAAACATTTGTAGGAGCATTAGCTCTACGGCTGCCTATCTTACAAATAACAGAAAAAATGAGATTTCCGCTGAATGTGTCGACTGTTAGGACAATTTAAAAAGACATATAAAGAATCTTTGATATCATTATCACATAAAACACAATTATGTGAACAAGTAATACCTTTATTTTGTAGTCGAGTATGAATGCACCTCTAAGAGAACAATCTTCACTAGTATTTGGTTTCAAATCCTCCTATCTTTTGTAACCGAGTCAACGAGTAGTGTATTGTGAATTTTGTCAGCATTAATCGGAAAAAAGTGCAACATGCGTCGATGTAGTTTACTTTAGATACTTCATCGACTTGACATCGATTCAGAAGTACAATTGGAAGCCCACCTGTTTGGTCTACCTGTACTTGAAATTGGGCGATGGTTGTCTTTTTTACTTTAGATACTTCATCGACTTGACATCGATTCAGAAGTACAATTGGAAGCCCACCTGTTTAGTCTACCTGTACTTGAAATTGGGCGATGGTTGTTTTTAAAAGACAAAATAGACTACATTATGGTAATTTACTGTCACAAATATTTTCATAACTCTTTTGTTAAACTTGTTATTAATATTTTATCCGAACCATTTTTTAGGGATGGATTATCTCTCACTTTTCTCGCATATGTAGGTGGGAACCTGTGCCTGGCTACACTGCCTTTTCCCAACTCAGAGGGAAACGGGCGATCGAGTCATTATAGGTATATCTTAACTGTCATGTACCAAATGACATTTCCTTCTACCCATATAGCGGTCACTTCCTGCCGCGTCAGTTGAACCTCATTTCCTTATACTCTAGATGGCTGACATGTGGGTCAGGTCTTATGTATCCATATGTTCCCGAGCAAGTGACCCACCAGTTTGGGGATTTGTAGATACCAGTTTGGGGATTTGTAGATTATTCTGCGATACCCCTCAAATTCTACTCCTCCATTTGGGGATTTGTAGATTATTCTGCGATACCCCTCAAATTCTACTCCTCCCACCATTGGGCTTATGCAAATGACTACGTGACATGGTTCTGCTCTTGGAAGACCACCTATGTCATCTAATCAAGAGTTACTTTAGGCTAGAGATGACCACACTCAAGACGTAACCAGCGTTTGTTAGCATATTATGGATATGACGAGATCGGGCATAGAGACATGACTTTTTGAGGAAGGTAGTTTCTAGTTGGCCCTCGTAGAAGGCATTATTGTCGAGGTATGCAATCCCTTGCAATACAGGCAGAGAAGCTGAGGTAGACATACTCAATAGTTTATGTTTGATTGTATTATTTTTTTGTATAATTAATCTCTAAGCTCAATGATCTTTTCCAAAGTCCAATACTTGAAAATTTAGAAGGTATTGTGTAAAAGAGTTTTATAAACACTTTTATTTGTTGGAACATTTTTGATGTAGGACTATAAACACTTTTATATATGCAACACTTGCAATGTTATTTTTCAGCACTGCATGATGAAAGCATCATAGAATAAGAGTTGCAGTACACCAATGGTGGGACTGAATTAATTAGTACTAGCTTGCTTTGATATGCTTTGTAGCATTTACACATCTGTTATCTGGTTTGATCTGACTATACCAACGATGGTATTGTCATAGAAATGAATTGATTGTGTTTCCTCTTGCTCTTTTTTCTGCCATTATACACACTTGTTCTTCCTTTATTAACATTTTGCAAACATGACAATAATAATTGTTTCGTTCTAATAATTTCTGCGGATCAAATTGTTCTGTCATTATCAACTTCTGCTTGTGTTGATTTCAATGTTTTTCCTATCATTTTCTGTTTCATTTCCGTATACAGGATTCCAGAAACTCCAGCTTGTGTAGCTAACTTTGCTACATTATTAGAATATAATTATGAAATTAAATTCAAAATTGATAAGAACAAAGATGAAATGGATAAGGAAGCATAACTTCATGATATAACTGTTAGTTATTAAGTAAGAAGCTTACTATTTTTAGATGTAAGTACACCCTTCATATAGTTTTTCAAGATAAGGTGTGGTGGCATTGTAAATCTGTACCAGAACAAGCCATTGGCAATGAGTAGTGAAAAGGATAAATATCATGCTTTAATATTATGAAAGGACTGCAATATGAAACATGTTTGCAAGGAGATTGTAATGTCAATAGCAACTCTTACTTTTCTTTGATGCAGTAGATGAACTTTTCCAACAATAGAGTCTCACATTGAACATGAATTATCAAAGATTAGTGTTTATATATCTTTTCCACACTATTATATTTAATTTTAAATATTGGGTTGCTATTGAAAAGAATGTGGATATTAAGTTCAACAATTATATTTTAAAATCTTTAATAATAGTTTCTAAATTAATTTTCTAATAATTAATTAATTATAATTATTAAATTTATTTAATTATTAAAATTATCAACATAAAAATTTAGAAAAACGTAAAAAAATTGAAAAAAATTAAAAATCCAAGTGGATTTATATATTTTTTTTAAATGTGTTAAAAATTTAAAAAAAAAAAGTAAAAGAATCTACTTGGACTGCCACATCACCCAGAAATGAAATCTAGGTTGAAATTGTGCGCAAGAGTCTTATAGAAGAAATTTTGATATTTTAAAAGGGGAATCACAAAAAAAAAAAAAAATTATAAGTTTTGAAATCAAAACCTTGTATGGGGTGACATATATTAAGTATTATTTAAAATGAGGAAATCTTTTTATGAATTTTCAAGTTTTTAATATATATACAATATTAATTGAAATGAGTATTAATTAATAATGTGAGCAAATGAGTCGTGGTCGGTCGAGGAAGAAGGCGGTGATGAGTGATGACTCCACCGGTGATGGTTAGAGTGTTTTCTCCATTGTCTTAACACTCGATTGGAAGATGGTCACACCATAATGAATGGATCTAATACTCGAACAGAAGGACCTAGTGTATAAAGCCAAGAAACAAAAGGGGCAACGACTCCAAAAACCACCACAATAGCTCAACCTAAGCAAATACTGGAATCGATTATTAAAGATAACAGAGCAAAAGGAAATAAAAATACTACAATTGATGAACAACTACAACCAAGAACATGGGTGGACGTCATTAAAGGTAATCACTTACCTTCTAATGGTATTGAAATTGAATACACAACATCAATTGTTGTTAATGGAGAAATTAAGGTGATAATAGAGGAACACGATGTTGAGTCTGAAAATAAATTTGGAAAAATGCGCTTATCATGTATGCTCTAAGGGAAGATTTATCCATGAATACGGTAAAAAAGAGTCATGATTAATATGTGAAATTTTGTTGCCCTCCCAGAATTGTATTACAACGAGGAAGGGTATTTCATCATTAAATTTAGGTCAAAGATGGATAGAGATGCAATACTTATGTGAAGATCATATACCATATATCAAAAACCCACGTTCCTGCATGAATGAACTCCTGATTTTACTTTGAAAGATGATTTGTTAAGGGTACTCCCAATCTGGTTCATTTTGCCAAAACTTCCACTAATTTTTTAGGGTGAAAAAAGCATTCGAAAAATTACAAGTTCTATTGAAAAACACGTGATGACATATGAATGCACAGCCAAGAAATTAAAGTTAACTTATGCCCGAGTTTTGATTGAAGTAGGTGTAACCATGAGCTAAAAACATATATCAACATCAAACACTATGCCAAAAAAGACCTTTAGCAGCGCTTAAAAGTGTTGCCTAAAGTGGCGCTGCTAAAGGCAAAGACATCGTTTTTTTATGGAAAAAACGCTGCTATAGGCCCATTTTTAGCAGCGCTAAAGCGCTCTATATCCCCCCCCCCCCTTAGCAGCGCTTTCTAAAAGCGCTGCCTAAAGTGTATTTGTTGAATACCTTTTAGCAGCGCTTTTGTAAAAACCGCTCTCTATTCCCCCTCATATAGCAGCGCTTTTGAAAAGCGTTGCCTATTCCCCCCCCTATAGCAGCGCTTTTGAAAAGCGTTGCCTATTCCCCAGGGCTTTTTAAAGCACTGTCTTTCCCCTCCCTTCCCCCCTATAGAAGCGCTTTTTGGAGCGCTCTCTATACCCCCCCCCCTTTAGCAGCGCTTTCTCAATAAAAGCGTTGTCTTTTCTTCACGTCATTGAATTTTTTTTTTAAAATCACTTTTTCATAGCGTTTTTTGGTAAAAGTGCTGTCTATTTTTCATATTTTTTAGAAACGATTTTTGTTGAATTATGTTGCACCATTTTTTATATTTTTTCGATAAACCTGCTTATAACAATTACATTCACCACAGACCTTTATTTCAACACTTTGGCCTTATATATATCATAATCATTGTAATTCAATACATAAACCTGCTTATAATTCAACACAAGTCGATCCTCACAACAACTTCACATATACAGTCACTATACATATAATTACAAAACCGATGACTTTACAAATACATTCATTATACATATAATTCCAAAACTACATACGACTTCCAGAAATATAATTATCCCGCATCAATATTTGACAATATATATACCTTATACAATTCTCAACTCAAGAATGTATTGACACCATTCCTCCTTAATTTCTTCCAATCTGTCTTTCGAGTAAGTACCACACTTGAATTCATCAAAGTACT